CCCCCCTAACAGGACCACACTGGAAGTATGTACTAGTGCACCGGACGTTGCGGAAATCGTCTTTCGAGTTGGCGCCAAAGCGCGAGCGCGCAGGGCCGCCCTAAAAAAAAACCCTAAACCCTAAACCCTAAACCCTAAAAACCTAAGCCCTATAAGACCCTGTATCCCTATAAGACTCGTCTTGGCAGGTGTTCCAGCGTCTCGCAGTCACGCAGCTCCGCTTCCTCTCCCAGGAGCCTCGGGTTCAATCGGAGTCTTTGGTTCAGGAGTTGAGGGGTTTAGGGTTTAGGGTTTAGGGTTTTCTAAACCCTAAACTTTAGGGGTTTAGGGTTTAGGGTTTAGGGGTTTAGGGGTTCAGGGGTTTGGGTTTAGGGGTTTAGGGGTTTAGGGGTTTAGGGTTTAGAGTTGAGTTTTTAAACCCTAAACCCTAAACTGTAGGTGTTTAGGGCCCTCAACGCTAAACCGGAAACCCTAAACCCAGAATGTACGGCGTGCTGTAGACATCGACCCTGAGCAACACATTCCGTACTTGTTGCTCGCTGAGCAGATGCCTTGGGTTTTAGGGTTCCGGGTTTCGGGTTTAGGGGTTTAGGGTTTAGGGTTTAGGGGTTTAGGGGTTTAGGGTTTAGGGGTTTAGGGTTTTGGGGTTTAGGGGTTTAGGGTTTAGGGTTTCCCCGATCTTGGAGAAATGCTCAGTGGGTCCCTGCTGAAGTAGCACGCTGATTCTCTTGAGATAACTGGGGCTTCACGAGGTTTGGAGGTGTTTAAACCAAAAACGCAAAGCACACACACACACACACCCACATACCAAAAAGAATCCCAAGCAGATGAGAACGCAAGTTACGAACTTCACGTAATGGACGGAAACCCACACTGCAGCAGGAAGAATGCAACAACATGAACACACACACACAAGCATGACAAACACATCCTCGCTCGACACCTTAGCATATTATCGGGGCTTGCATAATTATCACCAGAAGAAAAGGATTTCGGGGTATATTCGAGTATAACCTACAACAAGGAATCCCATGCAATAGCATTACTGTTTATTTCAACCTTTACGTTGGCCCCTCCGCGGCCGAGAAAAAGATGCACATTGTCGCTGTGTGGTGCATCAGCGCAAGCGCCCAGGCTGCAAAAAGTCCACCAGGAGGGGTTTAGCGGGGTTTCGGTTCCAGGCTTTTGGCATAAGGGATTGAAGTCTGTGGGTTAGGGCTTAGGGTTTAAAGTCTGTGGGTTTAGGGTTCAATGTCTTTGGGCTTAGGGTTTAGGGGAGTGTGAGAATGGATTTTCGGCGTCAGCAGGTTCAGGCAGTTTTGGTTGAGGGTCCTAGCTTCCAAGACCAATCCGAAAACCCAAGCCCGATCATACAAGCCAGGACCTGCGAAGCGATGGTGCAGGGTTTAGACCTTTATGGTTTTCGGGGTCGGGGTTTGAGATTGAGGGTCTAGGGCTAGGGAAGCTATACAGTGCATGACAGAGGGTCGAACACCTGCTAGTAGCATTGACACAAGGTCTGGCTTTAGATAGAAGCCTAAATAAGTACCTACATTATTCCTTAGGGTTCCTTATTATACCTATACAGTATGATCTACCCCAAGCCCTATTCTCATTATATATGAACCCCCCTATATTAACCCCTTATAATAGCCCTTATAGAACCCTTTCAGGAACCCTTTAAAGGAGCCCTATTGTAGTTATTAAGACCCCTGTATTATCTTTCAGCTGGTGGAAGCCAACAGGCCTCAACCCTAACCTAACCCCGAAGCTGTGCACCTGCTGAAGATAAGTAACATCAAGTCTAAGGGTTTAGGGTTTTGGGTTTTGGGATCAGGCTTATAAGATTACGATTTAGGGTTTAGGCTTCAGATTAGGGTTTAGGGCTTAGGGTTTAGGGTTTAGGGCTTAGGCTTAAGATAAGGGTTTAGGGTAATCTTAGGGTCATCAAGTCTAAGGCTTGATTTCCAGCCTCCATGAAGCCTAAAAGCGGAATTCGCGAATCCAACAGACTCAACCCGAAACCTTGATCTTGCAAATGACGGACGATCACTCCTCACATTTAGCCCCCACTGATATGATCAGCCGAGCACCCTCAGCAGCATAAGGTAGCAGGATAACGTGGCATCCCAGCGCTGGGACAGCCAATGGCAAACGAACGCTCAGGAGAATGAGCGGAAGCGAGCTACGCCGGCGGCGCTAAAGCAGCGGAAGACAGGAATGAGAAGCTGATATGTTGGCGGAAAGAGGCGGGCAAACAACAGAAGTCCTACAATTTGTGTTGGGGCTTCCCTTCACCTCCCAGCCGAAAAATGGAGGTTTCGTGCAAGCGGAGACAACGGAGAGACGGGAAGCCGGGGGCGCAGGGTGGCGCGGGAGAAGCACAGCGTTGCAAGGCCGAGGTGTTGGTTTACCAAAAAGAGCTGCTGCTGCAGAGGTGCGACGGAGTGACGGAGCAAGGTACCAGGGCCCTAAACCCTAAACCCCAAACCCTAAACGTGAAAGCCTAAACCCCTCACCTCCTGAAGTCTTGAACTCGGTACCTCACAGCTTTAGTTAGCCGCCCAAATCCTGCCTGCCATGTCTTGCTTGGCTTTAGCAGTGCGAGGGTCCGAACCCAGCGGAAGTTTGGGTTTAGGGTTTAGGGTTTTGGATTTAGGGTTTAGGGGTTGCAGCAAGCAGGTCCTCGAAGACATAGCCTCCAACCGCTGAACCCCGCAGCTAGGCTTAGGGGATCAAGGATAGTATATTATAGTGGCCCAAATAGTTACCACTACTATTTTGGGGGTTTCCTGGTTATAATGATAGCAGAATATACCCCCCAAACCCCCTTAAACCCGAAACCCAAAACCCTAAACCCCTAAACCCCAAACCCCTTAAAAACCCTAAACCCTAAACCCCTAAACCCCAAAACCCTAATCTTATTCTAATTATATCTACTTACTAAGGCCTCTATGTTACGTCTTTCAGGCTCAAGATCCGCATGCCCTTAAGAGCATCTGCCCAAGGCGGACGGCTGGGCCATGAATTCCGAACTTCCGTGGACCAGGCCCTGCAGCCTTTTGGGGTTCAGGGCTTGAGGGGTTTAGAGTTTAGAGTTTCAGGCGTGTTCAGGGCTTGAGGGGTTTAGAGTTTAGAGTTTCAGGTGTGTTCAGGGCTTGAGGGGTTTAGAGTTTAGAGTTTCAGGTGTGTTCAGGGCTTGAGGGGTTTAGAGTTTAGAGTTTCAGGTGTTTTTTGGGTTTGGGAGGTTCAGGTTTGCTTCGTTAGTTCTAGACACCCGGTTGCGTAACCGCTGGGTCAAGGGGTCACTTGCCTTGTAGTCTTCTAGCATTGAGGCTAAGGGTTCGGGGTTGGGGGTTCAGCGATGGCTTGGGTATAGACTACGGCAACATCCACATACGGAGAACACTCTCGCACACCCCCCTTCACCAGAGCACACGCAAGAACAAGAAGCGCAGCCCATCCTTGTTATTCGCTCTTTCATGATACGACTCTAGGACCTGTAGGCCAGGAAATACTACCTATAGTCTCCATTGTAGTTCCTTTTTTTGGTTTAACCAATTCTATATTAAAGGTTCTATAAGGTAACCCCAAAAAGGAACTACAATGGAGCCTATAGGTACAGT